CGGTTGGCAAAATAAGAGATGCATAAGAAAGTATATGCAATTATTTTTAAAATAAAATTATGCTGCTTTGTGAATTAAAATGTGCAACCATCTTGTATGCTAAAATAAAATTATTCTCCGCATATAAGATAAATCATCAGTTTTTGCATTGGATGAAAATGTTTTGGGAGGAAGAAAAGTTGAAGTAGCTTTGAAATCATAGGAAGTACACCACAGACAAAAAGGAAAGAGAAATGGAAGCATGAACACAATGCTAGAAGCTTACAACAATATCTAAACAATGGACAGGAAGAAGAACCACATGCAACAAAGTCATCCATGGAGCAGCATTCAAAGGAGAAAACTCTTCCTAACCAAGAGCAGCAGGGCTTTGAACACTTCAGAGAAGTGAGACTGCTTTTCCTCCAGATTTTACACTTTAAAGTTTATTGAGAAGATAGTGTGGGGAACCTCACCACTAAACCAGTGATGAAGAATATCAGCAAAGGGAAATAAATCAAAGTGTTAACAAAAACATGAATAAAAGCTAATGTCAAAAACATTCAAGCGAAAAAGAAAAGAGAAAGAAACGGGGGAGAGTGGGAGAGGAGAGAAAAGGAGAAAAAAGATCTAGAAACATTTACAATGGGTAAAAAGTAAATTAGTCTTATGTTAATGACGTGCCAAAGTGTTCCATTTTTATGTGAAGGCAAATAACCATGAAGTATCACCAACATAAACACTGATTAAAAGAGATTAAATGTCTTGGGAAGAAATGTCATAACATTACACAGTGTCAGTTTGCAGTGTTCTCAAAATGTTAATAACCTCCAGCTTTAGCTGCTTGCATTACAGGAGATCTCAAGGGAAGGAAACCTCAGCTGCAGGGCTCCCAGTCGGAGCCTAGATACAGCCTTGCCCATCTCCTCATTGTTAATAGATAAAATTTCACTGAAAATGAGTCCGTGACATTTGTCCATGATCAAGAAAGGACTATGTTTTTAAGAAAAACTTTCTATTTTGCCAGAAACAAGTTCAGTTTATCTTACCATTTCAATAATGCTCCAGACCTGATTCAGTCAGCCTGAAACACTCTGTGGAATAATAGCCTTCTATTCTCTAACAGTGACATTTCCCCAGTAACAGTAGCATCTGCATAAAATTTAGGAAGTGAGAGTTCATCATTTTACAAACTAATTCTAGAAAAAAGCGTGGGTCAGGATGAATTTATAACTATTTTGCCAGGACAGTTCCCAGAATTGATTCAGGAAGTGTTAATTTAGAGTATACTGAGTGCCCCACCCCCTCGTTTACTTTAATAAAATCATTAGAACTTCTGACCACTGCAATTATCTTTGCCTCCAAGCCAAATAAAAATAGACTAACACCCTGTGGTCACTTCATGTATTAGTCATTCTCGCCTACCTATTCTACTGATCCAATTTCTCTCAGAGAGTCAGGAAGGACATGTGCTTTCCCCTCAAACTGGCAGCACTTTGGAACATATGAACTTCCATTTGTGTGTATCTAGTATCTATAAAATGTGTACTTTTGTGTTTCTGTAGTGCATAAGTGTGTACAGAATTCTATGCTTGGCACAATTTGTTCAACAATGCTTAACAATTTTTTTTTAATTAAACATCAGCCCTCTACTCAGTTTCTTCTTTCAAGAAATTTCTATTATCTGGGGATGTTGGCCACAGGAGAATCAGTGGAGTTAAATGTCCTATATAGGGTTCAGTTACAGTGATCAGTAATTAACAACAAGAAATCTTTTAGCTGGAGACATCAGGAAAGGGAATTAGATACTAGAGACCTTGAACATTTTGACAAAGTGTTGATACAGATGAACTGAATAAAACTTTATGCCTTCTCTGCTGAAGCAGAGTAGCCACTTATTCACTCATGGTTGCTGAAATTTAAATTAAGCTGAAATAAAACATTCCATCACACTACCCACATGTCAAGTGCTCAATAGCCACATATGACTAATGGCCGCCACATTGGGCCTTATGGAAAAAATTCCCGCCATTCTGTTGAGCAGCTCTGTTCTATGTTTGATCACTATAGCTGTTTCGCACATGTTTGCAGACTAGTAAACGTCCCACATTTGCTGGAACATAGGGCATGATTAAAATCACGGTGGATGATAAGACCGGAAAAAGAAGCTGAGATAAAATTTCACTAAGTCTTGAATGCATTCATTTGGAATCAAGGTTTTGTTTAGAGCAAAAGACTGATATTTAGAAGTATTAATTTTTGCTCATGTATGAAAGGATGACTTGGTAAAACAACTAGACAAGTGGCGTTCAGCCACGGTTGCATATTAGAATCACCTAGTGAACTATTTAAAACTCCAGTGCGAGGTCACATTTCAGATAAACTACGTCAGCATCACTGAGTTTCCCTGAGTGATTCTATTGTGCGAAATTATTTAGAGATACCTCTTGTTTTTATGTGCACAGCACCCCTTCTCCCACATGACATCTTTTCCCAACAATGACCTTTTTCGTCTGATGAGATTCCTCTTACCTTCTCTACCCAATTCTGGTGGGGTTTCCAGTCATAATAAGCGTAATAAGCTAATTATCTGATTACAAGCAGTAGCTGTGGACCTAAATTCTGGCAAGTCTCAATGCCACAGTCATGCTGGTTCTGGCTAATACCATATACCAGAGTTAGACTGCAATCAAAACAGTCAATAGAGAGCCTGTTTGGAGATTTTTACTTTCATATTTCTAGTTCAAACGGTTCTGTAATTCATCTTGGAAGTCACTACTCTGAGAGGGTATCAGCTTTAAAATGTGTGTGAATGTGTGTTCTTCACTTGGACTCATGACCACCATCATTTTGTTGCACTAAAGAAAGTCATCCACACAAAAAAGTACAAAATTAGTAGATAAAGGTACAACCAAGAGATTGGGGTCAGGGTTTGGTGGAGTGTTAGCAAACAAAAGACCTCATGATATTGATGGGGTTCTTGAAAAAGTCCAGAGGTCAGCTCCCTCAAGGTATTCCCAGTTACATGAGCCATGAAATCACCCACTATTCCCTCTTTTGCTTCTTCTGCTTCAGTTTATCTAAGGTGAATTTTGGTCATTTTCTTTAGGGAGATAATAGATAGATGGATGATAGATACATACATATTTTCATAGATACATGCATGTAGAATGTAGCTTTGCTGAGAAGGTTTGACCACAGAACCCTATTTTCTAGAATCTACATTACCAACTTATGGGCACAGTAATTTTTTTTCACAATTGTTACAAATTCCCATAAGAATTTGTTTAAAGTGTTGACCAGGGTTGGGGATCATGTCTAGCTTTTGATCTCTTCCCAGCTTGAAATCAGAACCAACATCCTGCTCAGTTCTGTTACCCAGCCATCCCAGATATGAACTGATGAAGATTATTGTGTTCTGTGTTAATGATATGATTCATGAGAAGAGGCCAGTGAACCACGCAAAATCTTAGAAGCCGTAAACATTAATTGATTAGATGAAAAAAGTGGATGAGTATTAGATCTGCTCAGAAGAAGGGAAATGTGGCTTCTGATCAGGGTAGTAAATACCTAGCAGTCTAGGCACTCTATTTCCCAACTTTGCCAGTGCTGATGTTTCCTGTCACTTTTACTTGAGAACCTAACCTTTACCTTACACTACCTCAGGCATTTTATGTAACTTAACACAGGCAATTTTCAGGTGCCAGTCTCTATAGGATGTGCTCTGTATTTTAAAGAAAGCATGCAATATATTCCCATTTATAACATTTTCAAATGTAGGATTCTATGACATATGTTGCTCAAGGTGGCCTGTACAAGGTTTCTTCCAGTTCTAGTAGATTAAAAGAATCAAAATGGCAAAAGCAGAGGATGGAAAGAAAAATGTGATTTTGTTTTCTTATTTCTATAATCAGAAAAATAATTTTATGCAAATCTCCTTTAGATTTGCTAAATAAACATTTTTGTGGTAAGAAATTCAAGAGGACTTTGGAAGAATTCATCTGTCCCAAGAGTCACTGTGTCAGTAACACAACCCACAGTTTGTTTTCCCTGAGTTTCACGGGCTTCAAATCACCTGGCAAAGATGAAGTGAAGGCAGGCATGGTAAACAGTAATGAATATCTTGATCATGACTTTACGCTTACCCAAAATCAGGCTCATTTAGTCAATGCCACAGAGATGTGGATACCTTTCTATTGGAAATGATCTTTCCTTTGCTATATGTCAATCCATTCATTTAAAATAAATTAAAGCAAAATAAGCTTGAAAAAGTTCCCTACTCTAATCCTGAGGATTTCAATCTTCTTTTTAAGTTAGGTGCCCAACACAGAATCTGGATAAAAGAGCCCAGGGGGAACTGAAAGTCCTTTGAATCCTCTCTCTATCCACTCCATATTCTGAAAGTCTAATGAGTAAAATTTAAAACCACTATACCAGATTATTTCCTTCATTGGCTTCCAAGTGTGGTTCCAAGAGTTCCACGACATAGGAGCCCTGCCTGAATAGTCGAACCAATTTATTTGAACTAAGAAATTTTTATATCTTCCAGAATCTCATAAAAATACAAATGTTCCTAGGAGGAGGAACATCTCGAGAGTGGAGAGTGCATTATTTTGCACCATGGAGGCTGCAGTTTGCAGCATGGAAGCTCAACTGACAGCAAAGTCTTTTAGGATGAAGTACAGGCAACTGAGGAACTGGAACCACAAAAGAACTGAAACAGATGTAACCAAGGAACAACTTACTTTTTGAGGTTACATGAGATGCACTGAATAGAATATTAATAGTTTTTAAATAAAGATCATTTTAAAATCTTTAATATTTGAATGTGTCCTGAGTATAAGATATTCTTCAAGGTCTTTATATATTAACTTATTTTATGTATTCCTTCCATTCTTATTTTTATACCTGTGTTAAAGATGAGGAAATTAAGGCATAGAAGAGTTAAGATCATACAGATAAAAAGAGGCAAAGCCGAGAATCACATCTGCACACAGCCTTACGATCTATAAGAAACTTACATAATGTATCATCTTCCAGAGAAGCAGTTAATTGTTTCATTCTCCTTTAGTCCTTCTAACAAGCAGTGCCTTCTGTTCTTCACAGTTAACTTCCATTGTACTCTTGATTAAGGCTGATGACTCTGGAGCAAACAAGAAGGAAGCATTTCCAGAGTGCTATGGACTTATTGACAAGGGAGTGGTCTTCCAGGTCTGCTGCCCAAGCTCTCATCAGCTGAATAAAGAGTCTGCTTAATCAAGCATGGTGCATTTCAAGTCTGCCATACACTACAGTAAGGATTGTGCTGTAAAACTGCAGGAAATGACACCCGCATCAGTTCTGATGCGAATGTAATCTTCTGGAGCTGAATTGTGAAAACTGCTCTTCCTGGGAGTTCTGGCACCATGTTGCGCCTTGCTCTGTATATCCTATAGAGATATTCAGCATCAGCCATTATATCAGCCTGTCCTGTCTGACTATCAGGGTTGTCTTCTGGAAGTCTAAAAACCTTGTATCTTAAGAATGGGGGTCTACTTGGGAGCAACTATAGTGCTACATGGAGGTGATGTGAAAAGTATCCCATGCAACTTCCTTACAGGGAAGAACACAGAGAGGTGGCTTGATTTAACTTTTAGAACAAAACACTATCAGTGTAGAAACCAGGTTCTGAATCCAAGAGTAATGATATTGGGTAAGTGTATGGCTATAAGTTAACACACTTAGAGACTGAGTGTCATAAGAACATTACAAACTTTAACAACTGTCTTTGCTGGGAAACAGGGGATCAGATTTACCTAGCCATATTAAATACCCAGGTGCTTAGAAAAAAAAAGAACATCTTTCAGACATTGGAAACAGGCAGCAGAGGACTATGAAGTAAATACTGCAATGGACTCATTTCATAACCTCAGAACAATTTCCAAGCCAGGAGAAAAACTGAATCCAAGAAGAACCCAGCAGTTTTGTGGAAATGAAGGGATAGAGTATGTTATTAAGGCAGGCCAGAGTGGCAAGCTTTTGTGGAGCAGAATACTGAAAAGTAGGAAACTGCCAAGAAAGCCCCAAGATATATCAATACAAAAGGGAACCATCACGCCATCAGCTAAGTTCTGAGTAGCACATGCATAAATTTGTATTTATGAAATGCATGAAGTGTGTATACCTTAAATAAAAGGTTTCTGGGTAAAAAAAAAAAAAAAGCAACCAGCAAAACAATCACTGACATTAGTCAAATAGTTATTGCCTTAGTGATGGGGCAAATTAACTCAAAAATAAACGCTGTTGTAGGTCCACAAACAACAATTCTTAAAGACAAGCTGGAAATTAGCTGATTCCAAGTAAACCTAACTGAATCTCCAAACCAAGCCCAATGTTATTGAAAAAGATACATAAAATTCATCATCAGGGAACAGACATTTAGTTTAGTAGTTAAGATGCCCATGTCCCAAATCCATCCCTGACTTGCAGTTTCTGGCTCCAGCTTATTGTACCCTGGGAGACAGCAGAGTTGACTCAAGTGGTTGAGATTCTGTCATCCACATGAGAGACCTGAACTGAGTTCCACGTTCCTAACCTTGGCCCCATCTCAGCTCCTGGCCATTGCAGGCAGGTATTGAGTTAGTGAACCAATAGATGGGAGTGTCTGGCTGTCTCTCTTTCTTTTCCTCTCTCTCTCTCTCTCTCTCTGTGTGTGTGTGTGTGTGTGTGTGTGTGTGTGTGAGAGAGGGGGGGGGGAGGCTCTCAAAAATTCATCATCAAATAATGTGAAATCTACAATGCCCAGCATCTAATAAAAAGAGCCAGTCATGCAAAGCAAAAAATAGCACTCTAAAAAGAGACAAATAAATCAATAAATAGAAACTCAGAAATAACAATGATATAATTAACAGATAAGAATGTTAGGGTCACTATTAAAAATATAATCCACATGTTCAAGGATGTAAGAAAGAATACACAAATGAGAAAATATATAAAACAGATTATTTTTTAAAAGAATCAACATTCTAAACATGAAGATGACAACATGTGAAATAAAAAGGGCAATAAATGAAGTTGGCAACAGATTCAAGGCTACTGAAGAAAAGATAAGTGAACTTGAAGCTATTGTAACAGAAACTACCTGAAATGAAACAGGGATATTTTTCATTAAGGAGATGGATAAAGGTTCATTTTAATCAATTTTACAAATTGAAAATAAGTGAAATAGTCATAGGACAAAAAGGCAATCTATATAAACAAAGAATATAACAAACTTCTTGCACAAGAAAAAAAAAAAACCTGTATAAGCCAGAAGAAAACAAAGTGACATACTCACTGAAATGGAAGAAACATTGTCAACACAGAATATTCTACTCAACAAAAGTTTCGAAAGTGAATTGAAATAAGGAGTTTTTTAGACAAATAAAAATGGAGAGAATTCATCTTTGACAGAACAACATTTTAAGAAATGTTAAGGGAAATTCCTTAAGCAAAAGGAAATGACATCACATGGAAGTTTAGATCTATTCAAAGACATGATTAACAGGAAATATCAATGCTAAGTTTTAAAACACCTTTTTCTTTCTCATTTCCACTAACCTCTTCAAGGATAACTAATGATTTAAAAGAAGAACAATTAGTTTCATGGGCTTTATTGCCTATGTCAGTTCCCTCAATTTGATAAAGAGTATCTATGAAAACTTAGGGAGAAATTAAATGTTTCCCTTTAATATTATGAATAAGGCAGGGGCCAGAACCGTGGCACAGCATGTTAATGCCCTAACCTGAAGCACAGGCATCCCATATGGGTGCTGGTTATAGTCCCGGCTGCTCCTCTTCCAAACCAGATCTCTGCTATGGCCTGGGAAAACAGTAGAAGATGGTCCAAGCCCTTGGGCCCCTGCATCCACTTGGGAGACCTGGAAGAAGCTCCTGGCTCCTGGCTTAGGATTGGCACAGATGCGGCCATTGTGGCCATGTGGGGAGTGAACCATTGGATGGAAGACCTCTCTCTCTGTCTCTACCTCTCTCTATAATTCTGTCTTTCAAATAAATAAAATAATTCTTAAAAAAAAAAGAATAGGGGCCAGCACCGTGGCTCACTTGGTTAATCCTCAGCCTGCAGCGCCGGCACCCCACATGGGCACCGGGTTCTAGTCCCGGTTGCTTCTCTTCCAGTCCAGCTCTCTGCTGTGGCCCAGGAATGCAGAGGAGGATGGCCCAAGTGCGTGGGTCCCTGCACCCACATGGGAGACCAGAAAGAAGCACCTGGCTCCTGGCTTCAGACTGGCAGAGCTCTGGATGTAGCAGCCATTTGGGGAGTGAACCAATGGAAGGAAGACCTTTCTCTCTAACTCTACCTGTTAAATAAATTTAAAATAAAAAGAAAAAAGAATAAAGCAAGGATGTTCATCACAATAGTCTCATTAAACATCATATCAAAAGACTGAGACACTCTATTGCAATAAGACAAGAAAATGATATAGATGATAGGCATATTAGAAAAAAGAAAGAAAAAATGTCCACATGCCAGATGACATGATTGTTTATATAAATCCAAGCAACCCACAAAATTGCTACTATATTTATTATATCATACCATGTCACTAGATGCCACATCAAAATACCTATTTGAATTATGCACCTATAAACCAAGAATAATTAGAAATACGTTTTTAAGTATATTATTTACAAGTATATTTAGTGCCCAGATCTTATTTCTAGTACCATTCTCCAATTATAATTCTCCACTCTTCTTTAAAAGAAACTAAGCTTCCTTAGAGAAATGGTTCATTTAAAATGAGGACAAGATATATAAAGGATGAGGCTCAATTCTCTTACAGTGCAAAAAATTAAGGAAATGCTCAAAGTAAAAATATGCAATGACATGGATATGCAAAGAAACATGGGAACCAAATGAAAGAGTTCCAAAATTGTCAAAACAGGTGAATTTCAAGCAACAAAATAATGTAGTATTGGATTGTAACCTAAAGTATAGTCATCCTTCAGTAACCATGGGGGCTTGATTCCATGATCCATCCATTAATGGATGCCTAATTCAGTGGATGCTCAAGTAACTTACATAAAATTCAGTATATACATATATGTTATGCAAATCATCCCACATGCTTGAAATCATCTATAGATTACTTATAATACCAAATACAATGTAAATGTTGTATAAATAGTGTTTATACTATATTGTTTAGGGAATATTAACAAGAAAAATGGCCTGTACATATTCAGGTTATGTGAAATTATTTTCCTGAATATGTGCAATCTGAGATGGCTGAAAACACAGATATAGGGGCAGGCACTGTGGCATAGTGGGTAAAGCCACCACCTGCAGTGCCGGCATCCCATATGGGCACTGTTTGGAGTTCCAGCTGCCCCACTGCCCATCCAACTCTCTGCTATGGCCTGAGAAGGCAGCAGAAGATGACTCAAGTCTTTGGGTCCCTGCACCTGCGTGGTAGAACTGGAAGTATCTCCTGGATCTTGGCTTTGGATCGTCACAGCTCCGTCTGTTGCAGCCAATTTGAGAGTGAACCAGCGAATGGAAGACCTCTCTCTCTATGCCTCTCCTCCTCTCTCTGTGTGACTCTGACTTCCAAATAAATTAATCTTTAAAAAAAAAGAAAAAGAAAACACAGATATAAAACTCATGGATATAGAGGGCTGACTATATAAAATAAATACCTGTGATTTCATACTGCTATAAATAAATGAGTTAAATAATCTAAGTGATAACCCTCTTTTAGTTATCTGCCAAACTCCAGACTTTGGTTTCTTATTGCAATTAACACAGTTACGAAGTTGTAATGGTGTCTTTCTCTCCCTTTGTAACAGGATGTGTAAATCAAAGTATATGCATTGTGTGGGATTTAGTTAACATAATATGTCAGCATTGGCCTAAGGCTATAATAAATATACCATACTAATTGAAGAGCTTAAAAATAAGGTAAATTGGATGTAGGGTATAGAGCAACTCTACTATCTTTGTACTATTTAGTTAATATAAAGCTGCTCCAAAAATAAATTTTGCTTCAAAACACCATCTACAATGGCATCAAAATATGAAAAATGCATAAGTTATACAATGAGGACTATAAAACTTTGTTAAAAGTAATTAAAGATCAACTTAATAAAGCTGCTATGAAGATTTTCATGAAAAACATTTAGGTTTCAGCATGTTCAAAACTCAGTAGGTTAAAAGTTAATTTCTTCTCTTTTTACTTCTTCAGAAATTGACAACTCAATACAAAAAATTTACATAAAATAGCCAAAACGGGGCCAGTGCTGTGGCGCAACGGGTTAATGTCCTGGCCTGAAGCACCGGCATCCCAAATGGGTGCCGGTTTTAGTCCCAGCTGCTCCTCTTCTGATCCAGCTCTCTGCTATGGCCTAGGAAAGCATTAGAAGATGGCCTAAGCTCTTGGGCCCCTGCATCCGCGTGGGAGACCCAGAAGAAGCCCCTGGCTCCTGGCTTCGGATTGGCGCAGCTGCAGCCGTTGCAGCCATCTGGGGAGTGAACCATTGGATGGAAGACCTCGCTCTCTCTCTGTAACTCTGACTTTCGAATAAATAAATAAATCTTTAAAAAAATAGCCAAAACAATTTGGAAAAGGAATAACAAAGGTAGCAGACATATTAAATTGATTTCAATATGTATTTTGCTCCTTTAGTGATCAAAACAGCATAATATAGTGTAAAAATAGACACATAGATCAATAGAAACAAATACAGAGTGTAGAAATAGACACATTTACTCATATATGGCCAAGTGATTTCCAACAATGGTGCCAAGGTAATTCAGTTTGTAACAGTAATCTTTGCAACAAATATGGCTAGAGACAATTGGGTATTCAGGGTACAAATAATAATAAAAGTAACTATCTTGGACTTTACCTCATACTAAATACAAAATCTAACTAAAAATGCAATACAGACCTACAAATTTAGTACTAGCAATCTACAACTTCTAGGAGCAAATATAAAATAAAATCTTTGTGACCTTGTTTAAGCCAAATTCTTAAGAGGATATGAAAGCTGTAAAAAAAAATATGGTAAGCTGGACTATGTAAAAGTGAAAGCTTTTCTTTTTCAAAAAATATTTTTAAAAAATAAAAGGCAGGGGCTGACATTGTGGCATAGTGGATTAAGCCACCACCTGCTGTACCAGCATCCCATATGGCAGCTGGTTCTAGCACCAGCTACTCCACTTCCAATCCAGCTCCCTGCTAATGCTCCTGGGAAAGAAGCAGAGAATCATCCAAATGCTTGGGCCCCAATATCCATGCAGAAGACCCAGAAGAAACTCCTGGCTAATAGCTTCGGCATGGCCCAGGCCTGGACATCGCAGCCATTTGGGGAGTGAACCAGCAGACGGAAGAGCTCCCCTTCTCTGTCTCTACCTCTCTGTAACTCTGCCTTTCAAATAAAATAAAATAAATCATTAAAAATAAATAAATAAAGGCAATCCACAGAATAGGACAAGATAGTTATGAAATAGAGATCTGTTAAACAACTTCTTTCCAGAACATATAAAAACTTTTTACAAGTTAATGAGAAAACAAAAAAAAAGACCTCTTAAATGAGTAATATAGAAAGAATAGAGAACTCAACAGAGAATAAATAGAGATGGAAAGAAAGTACATGAAATATGTAAAATGATTATCCATTAGGAAAATGTAAATTAAAACCACTTTGAGATACTATAAGCCAAAATTTAAAAGACTGAAATTCCCAAGTGTATATATGAATGTGAGGCAACTCAAAAGCTTATACATTGAAATGTAAATGCTTTCTCATACAGCACTCTGTAAAAACAGTTTGGCACTCTTTTGTAAAGATAAATATATACTTATTCTGGTACCCAGCAATTAAACTTCTAAATACATCTACTCATGGGAAAACACATGTGTTCATAAAAATTTTTCATGAAAATGTTCATAGCAGCTTTTTCGTAATAGCTAAAAATGGAAATCCAACCAACTGATGCATAAGTACATGGTGAGTATTATTCTACAGAATATTATTCCACAATAAAATAGAAAATAGAAAAAGGTAGAAGTACTAGCAACAGTATAAAAACTGTGAAAATAGTGAAAGAAGTCAAAGTGTATAATCTCTATGAATTCATTTTTTACTAAGTTCTAGAGAAAATAAAATTGTAATGATACTAAGTGGATCAGTGGTTGCCTAGGGCCAGGAGGTTAGGGAACAGAGCTGACCACAAATGAATAGTTGAAAAGTTTGGTATTATAGAAATGCTTCACCATAATGATGTTTGTCGCTCCCCCTCTTCGTGGAGGAACGACACAGGACCCTGCGCTGTTCTTTCGTCTGCTCGGCCCTCCCCGGGTTTGCTGCTGGTTCTTCCCGGGTTGGCTACTGTCCCTTCCACCTCCGTGGAAGGGCAGTTCCCCCTGCCACTTTCCCCACTTCCGCGGGGGAGCGGCACACCGCCGGCCGGCTCTCTCGGGGGCTGCACAGGTGTTCCCCTTAGATGTTCCCCTTAGATGTTCCTCTTAGATGTTCCCCTTAGATGTTCCTGGTGCATGCCGTCTCTCTCCTCCTTTATAGTCCTCCTCTGCCAATCGTAACTCAGCTGCCCACACGCCGAGTACGCTGCTCTCCTCCAATCAGGAGCAAGTCCTACAGTTTATTGGCTGAACTGGAGGCAGCTGTGTGGAAGCTGTTTTCTTCTCTCCCAGCGCCATATTGTGGGAGAGCAGATGCACAGAACAAGTCTTAATTCCAGTAACTTAGTCTAGTCCGGGCTGCTCCCCACAATGTTGATGATTTGTGCTACTGTATAAAAATGTAAAAAATCATCAAATTGGACATAAAAATGGTGGATGTTATTGTAAATAAATATAGCTAAAAAAAAACAAAAATGGGAGTGAGAAGATATCTTTATGAAAAATTATGCCCTTTTCAGAAATAGAAAAGGAACAGAAGGAAATTGAATGTTTTGTTGAAAAGAACAAGTTCTCACCAAAAACATTTCTTATGTATGTGTATTAGAGTTCTCCATAGAAAGAGAACCAATAGTTTGTGAATACAGATACACACATAGAAAGAGACAAAGAGACAGAGAGAAACAGAGGCAGATATTAAGATATTTTAAGGAATTGGCTTATGAGATTCTCCAAAACCTACAGGTCAGGCAGCAGACTGGAGACAGTGAAAAGCTGCAATCTGAACAGAGATACAAGTCCACAAACAGAATCCCTTCTCCCTCTGAAGTTGTCAGTGTTTTTCTATTATGACCTTCAATTGATTGGACAAGACCCAATTACATTAAGGAGGGTAATATACTTTATTCAAAATCCACTAATTTAAATGTTAATCCCATCTATAAATATCTTCTCAGAAGACTTTAGAGTAATATTTAACCAAGTATCTGACTACCAGGCCCTAGCCAGGTTGACATAAAATTAGCCATCAAACTATGCAATCGACCAAGTTCTGCTACACATTTTTGAATTTATTCTTCATAGTAAGCCAATTAGAAATAATGAGTTCAACCATTTCAAATTTTGCAAAGCTAAACAGCTCTTGTTTTCTGATAGGTGGCAAGATGTGACTTTGGAATTCAGGTCAATTATCTAATTGCCAAATTATATGCTGTTTGTGCCACAGAGCCCAGAGACACTAAGAATATGGATTAAATATACTTTGGTTCCTTATGACTTTTTCCCTGGCATTTTTCCATGTTCAAGACATTTAAAGACTATGCAATTTTTCATGTTCACTTTTAGAGATAGGTAAAATCAATGATATATTTTATAAAGACCTACTTCACTTTCATTGCATGACAAGATGAAATTAACAAACCAGCAAACCACTGATTGAATAGAGGCAGAAAGAAAATAACACCTGAAAATGAAATTCTTACTTGCTTTCTCCTATTTCTTATTGGAAAAATTGTGTGGAGAAAAAGCCATGAACTTCATACAAACCTGCTAATATTTATAGAAAAAGGTAATGTAGGAAAAGGAAAAAAATCAGAAGATAATAAACTATGATCTGCTAATTAATGAAATTGGCATTTTCCTAACCAACAGAATATAAATCTCCTAATTCATTTATCATTTTCTTAATATTCAAGGGACAGAAATTTACCCTTCAGTGTAAACAAAAAGCTTATTCATTTCTATGTTGTTTTAAGTTAATTTTGGAACTACAAAGAAAGGAATTTATTTAAGTACCATTAGCAGGGTGCTGTTATGGAGAAAGATGAAAGAGATTCTTTAAGTATTAGATTTTCCCTCTAACTGGATGGCTGCCTTTGGAGAGTGCAAGATCAGCACCTTGACTCTCCAACTGCAAAATTAGCACAATAGTAACTTCACAGAAGTGTGGGGAGACAGGTACATTAATAAGCATAAATGCAGTGCTATCCCCATCTTGGTGCCACTATGTTTCCAAGGCTCTCTAGCAAATCTTTCACATTATTACAGTCTCAATACCCTTAAGCTCAGGTGATCTGCATCCTGAGTCCTGTCTGCCACTTCACTTCAGCAAGGTGAATCTATTTTGGTGAGGGATACCAGCTAATCAAGAAATGAAAGGAATCATCTTTCTCCCACACCTCCAATCCTCCCTCCTAAAGGAAG